CATCAAAAGCAAAGAAACAAAAGAACTAAGTAAACATCAAATTTTGACTTTTAGGCCCAGCACGGTAGCCTAATGGCTAAAGTCCTTGCCTTGCACGTGCCAGGATTCCACATGGATGCCGGTTCTAATCCCAGTGGCGCCCTCGCTTCCCATCCAGCTCCCTGCTTGTGGCCTGGGAAGGACAGCCCAAAGCCTTGGGACTCTGCACCCACATGGGAGACCCGGAAGAGGCTCTGGCTTTGGATCAGAGTAGCTCCAGCTGTTGTGGCCGCTTGGGGAGTGGATCACTGGACAGAATATCTTCTTCTCTGTCTCTCCTCATCTCTGTATATCTGACTTCTAGGAAAATAAAATAAATCTTTAAAAATTTTTTTTAACTTTTGTGCTTCAAAGGACACTATCAGGAGAGAGGAAAAACTGCCCACAAAAATGGGAGAGTTTTCGTTTTTTCTTTTTTTGTAAATCATGCATCTGATAGGGAACTTAAATCAAGAATGTGTAAAGAACTCAACAAAAGACAAGTACTCCAATTTCAAAGTGGATTAAGTCTATTGTGATGGTTGATTTTGTCAAGTGGATTAATTAATATCTGGAAAGCTGAAAAGGCACAATTCTGGTGATTTTCTGTGATCAGTGTGAGTCTGAGGAGCTGGGATAGGAAGACTTACTCTCGGTTTGGGCAGTCCCATCGATGGCTTTGATGGTTTTCGGGTCTGGACACAGTAAGCACGGAGTGGGAACTGGTGTTTCACTGCAAGCCTGGCCAACCGCAGTCCTGCCCTGGCCATCATCACCCCAGCTCTGCATCCTATGAACTCCGGGATGTAGGCCAGTGGCCCTCATGGCTTCCAGCCCTCCCCCTCTGGGCGCTTTGGGCTTGGACTGAGCCACTTCCCCAATGCCCCTGGCATCTCCAGCCTACAGACCACGTGCTGTGGGATTTCTCAGACACAAATCTCCGTTCTGTCTCTCCACTCTAATACAAATCTGAATAGATCTTTATCCAAAGAAGATACAATACACACATGAAAAGATGCTTAGCATCATTAGCCACTAGAGAAATGCGCCTCCAAACCCCCATGAGATACAGGTCTACCGCAGTGAGCCAGCTGAAGTTAAAGACGACAGGAGAGTAGGGAGAGCAGTGCAGGCTTTGGAATCCTCCTATGACGTGGGAGGATTAGAAAACGCTACAGCCACTGTGTGTCCCTCGGCCTTTCAAATACTTAGATATGCTTTACTCACATCCTGAAGGGCTGTACATTCGCTTCCTTCTGCTATGAATGCCCTTCCTCACCTAATAAACTGGCTCTGTTCCTTAAGACTCCAGACTCTGCCGGTGCCTTCTCGGAGCTCACAAGATATCCGGGGCATCTGCCACTGTGGCATGCATGGCTTCGTTCCACCAACCTCAGCTTCCTTTCTGGGTTTCTACGGGATGACTTGCCCTCCAGGCAGGGGCTGTTATTTTTATCTTTGCATTCCCAATCCCCAGCAAAAAGTGCTCAATAAATTAAATGAAGGCAGGAGGAGGAAGGAATGGAATGAATGAATTCAATTTATTCTCGGATTTGTTTTTTCATCTCTCCATGTCTGTGAACATATAAGCTTTCAGAGGTTCCATTTTTCATGTTATTGTGACTTTTTTTGTATGACATGTAAGCCTACAACTTCTACAATAAGCTAAAGAAAGGATTACCATCTTCAATAAATTCCTAGCAAGTCTCTTTTCTCAGATACTCTTTGTGTGTGTGCATGTGTATGTCTTTTTTTATATGTATGCCTTTTTAAAAAGATTTTATTTGTGAGGCACGGAGACAGAAAGCTCCCATCTACACTAGAACATTCTGACATGACAGGTGTCTTCATGCCTGCTTTCTCTGTCGGGAAAGTGCTGTGGGAGTTAAGATGATGTCTTGTGGTTGTTGTTGTCATTGTTATTTTAAGTTTTACTTACTTGAAAGGAAGACTTACCAAGAGAGGAGAGACAGAAAGAAAGACTTCCCATTCGGTGGTTCACTCCCCAAATGGCCACAAAGGACGAAACTTGACCAGTTCAAAGCCAGGAGCCATTTGGGCCATTTTTTGCTGCTTTTCCAAGCACTTTAGCAGAGAGCTGGATCAAAAGTGGAGCAGCCAGGACTTGAACCAGCACCATGTGGTATGCCAGCACCACAGGCAACAGTTTTACCCACAGTGCCACAGAGCTGGCCTCAAGAGTGTTGTTTCTTGACAACAGAATAGAGCTCTGTTTTTCATATAATCTTTCAAATGTATCATTTAAGACAAGTCTTTTGGGCCCAGCACAGTGGCCTAGCGGCTAAAGTCTTTGCCTTGCACCAGGATCCCATATGGCCACTGGTTCTAATCCTGGAGGCTCCCACTTCCCATCCAGCTCCCTGCTTGTGGCCAGAGAAAGCAGTCGAGGGCGGCCCAAAGTCATGGGTTATTGTACTCACGTGGGAGAATCAAAAGAGCTCCTGGCTCCTAGCTTTGGATCGGCTCAGCTCCGGCTGTTGAAGTCATTTGGGGAGTGAATCAACGGATGGAAGAGCTGCCTCTCTGTCTCTCCTCCTCTCTGTATTTCTGACTTTGCAATAAAAATAAAATAAATCTTAAAAAAAAGATAACTCTTTTATAAATTATTTCCAGGCCAAGCAAGATGGCCTAATGACTAAATCCTCTCCTTGCATGCACTGGGATCCCATATTGGTTCTAATCCCAGCTGTTCCATTTCCCTTGCAGCTCCCTGCTTGTGGCCTGGGAAAGCAACAGAAGCTAGCCCAAAGCCTTGGGACCCTGCACCCATGTGGGAGACCCAGGGGAAGTTCCTGGCTCCTGGCTTCATATCAGCTCATCTATGGTCATCAACGTCACCTGGGGAATGAACCAGCAGATGGAAAATTTTTCTCTCTGTATATCTGCCTTTCCAATTAAAAATCATCATAATAATAACAAAATAAATCTTCAGAAATATTTTCACATTGCAAAACTATAGGAGAAACTGGCAAGGGATGAGAAGGAATGGTGTGGGGATGAGGGGAAACCCCCGAGTCCCTGGAACTGTATCATAAAAAATGAAATTTTAAAAAGAAAAAAAAAAAGGTTATTTTCAGGGGTCAGCATTGTGACTCGGGAGGTTAAACCACTGCTTATAATACTGACATCCCCTAAGAGTACTGGCTGTGTCCCCACTGTTCCACTTCCAACCCAACTCCTTGCTAACACACCCGAGAAAGCAGCAGAAATCAACCCAAGCCTTGGCCACTGCAACTCAGCTCCAGCCGCTGTGGTCACTTGGGGAGTGAATCAATGAATGAAGATCTTCCTCTCTGCCTCTATTCTTCTTTCTATATCTAACTTTGCAATAAATCTAAAAAAAGAAAACGTGAAATTCTGTTTGCCTGCTTATATTTCAGCACAGCATTTTCCCAGTTCAATATCAGATTTTGGTTTGTTTTGTTGTTGTTGTTGTTGTTGTTAATTTACTTGAAAGGCTACAGAGAGAAAGAGAAAGAGAGATCCTCTATCCTTCACTGGTTCACTCCCCAAATGGCCATAATAGCTGGAGCTGGGCCCAGCCTAAGCCAGGAACAAGGGGGCTTCTTGCAGGTCTCCCCCGTGGGTGCAGGCACCCATCTCCTCTGCTGCTTTCTCAGCCACATCACAGGGAATTGGATTGGAAATGAATCACCTGAGACATGAACAGGTGTCCATATGGGATGCTGGAGCCACAGGATGGAAGATTAGCTTGTTGAGCACCATGCCCTGAGCAGCTCCTGTCCTAAGGCCCTGGGAATGTGCGTTTTACTAGGCAATAGGGTTTTGCAGACATGGTCAAGGATCTTGAGAGAGAGGAGAAAAGGGGGTCAGGGCAAAACTAATCATAAGGTAAGAGAATTCAGATGAAGTAAAAATCCAAGAAATGTTACTGCTGGCCAGAGGGAGAGGGGAGGGAAAAAAACAAGGACTGTGGGCAGCTTCTAGAAGCTGGAAAGACAAAAACAAACCAAACAAACAATAACAAAATCTGAAGCAAAATAACAAAAGCAACAGCCTTCTAGTCGATGAGACCTCTCGGCCTCATTGATGTCATTCCTGTAAGACATTTCTAACCTCTGACCTCTAGGCTCCAGAGCTGTAACAGAATCCATGAGCGCTCATTTGTCACCAGGACATGTGTCTGCCACTCAGATCCCTCCACTCCCCAGGGACCAACATCCATGCAGCAGCGACTAATAAACACTGCCCCTTTCCTCAGCGTTGTTCTCCGTCCCACTCCCACCCCTGGGCTGGGCAGCCACGGGCTCCTGAAATCCACCCTTACAGGGGCCTGAAGAAGGGACTCCTCACCTTCAGGAGCAGCACTCACGAATCTGAAATCAGTTATTTTGGCCCCTAGGAAGCACCTACTATGAGCTAGTTTCCAGAAACTATAACATAACTGTTGGTGGAGTGGTAACATAAACAAAGTTATCACTGAACACAAAACGGGTGCAAGGAGAAAACTCTTCAGGAGAAGAATACTAGAACACAAAAGGGATGACCTGTGTCTGGGGAGATCTTGGGGACAGGATGATGTGAGATCCTGAACCCTCCGCTTTGGTGGGGAAGGTTGTAACAGCCAACACAGGAGTCACTGTCCCCAGACCTGGGCTCTGCCAGTGGAGTCGCCAATCTCTGAGGCTGGAAAGGGAGGGAGACCCCAGACACTAGTGTCCAGCCAGGGGACAAGTCGTTGACACACATAGTAGAGCCCTGGGAGTGGGGGTGGGGGTGAGTGTCCATGCTCCATGACTTCAAGAGACTTCAGGAGAAAATGAAAGGGTTCCTAAACTTGTGATGTTCCCACCAGATACCAAGTATCATGTGCTTGCATGGGATTCTTGCTTAGATGTTAGGGGGTTTCTTCTCCATTTTTCTAAGTCAATTTTCCAATTAAGAAAATGAACACAAGATACAGACATAAAAGGATCTTTGTTTAAAAAAATGAAAGGGCTGTGCTTGCTTCGGTAAGCACAGATACTAGAACTGGAATGACACACAGATGTTCCGCACAGCCCCTGTGCAAGGCTGACACCACAGATTTGTCTTCCATATTTTTTTAGTGGAACAAATCTGATTAATAACTTCAGGAAAAAAAGGCTATGTCTTTGTTTCATGGGCAAAATGTAACATGTGCCATCCAAAACACAGGACACTGTGGGTACCGGAATTTATCAATGGTGTCGGTACCATGGCTTAATAGGCTACTCTACCTCCAAGTGCTGGCCTTCCAAATGGGCACTGGTTCATATCCCAGCTGTTCTACTTTCCATCCAGCTCTCTGCTTGTGGCTGGGAAAGTAGCAGAGGATGGTTACAGCCTTGGGACCCTGCACCTGTATGGGAGACTGGGAAGAAGCTCCTGGCTCCTGACTCTGGACTGGCTCAGCTCTGGCCATTGTGGCCACCTGGGGAGTGAACCAGTGGATAGAAAGTCTTTCTGTCCTTCTCTTTATAAACCTGCCTTTTAAATTAAAAAATAAAAAAGAAGTGAATTTATCCACATATAATCTAGGGCTTAACTCCTTCTCACTAGGATTTTTGGCTCCCTAACCTTCATTATTTGTGAGTTCACATACACACACACACACACACACACACAAACACCATTTTCCAATCTTGGAGCTGGAAGGATCTTACAGATGACTTATTGACAGCCTGGTTTAGAGTTGCTGACCTGGGCTCTGGATGTTAGAGCCGTCTCACAGGTTACAGACATGGGGCTAAGACCAGGAATCACACCCCCACAGGCTCGGTTTGCATATGGGGTTTTCCTGGAATTGTTTGCTTTGTTCCCAACAGTTTCAGGCACTAACGATTCTACCTTTTCAGTACAAATCATTTTCACAAAAGCAGCTTTATCAGAATTTTAAATTCATTCTAACAACTCTGCAAATGAAGGAAGTGAGGCTCTCACGGGAAACGTTTAGAGAAGCCAGCATCTTGCTTTCATTAAAAGCAGCTCAGCCTATAAAATGTTTCACTTGTAACACCTTCATCACAGATTCAGAAAGTGCTAAATCTTTAGCAGACTTGTCCTCAGAGTGGGAAGTGATGATTTCCCCAGCGATGAATGAGAGACTTCTTTATGCAGAAACTCAGAGAAGCTGCCTTGGCTGGGTGATGCGAGCTTTGCTAAAATGGGCTGTAATTGCCGAGGAGGAGCGAGGGGAGAATCACTACTCTCGGGGCTGCTTACTTGGTGTCAGCAGTCACAGCTGGGGCCTCACGAAAGGACTACCAACAGAAGTGTACAACTTGCTTGAAGTAAAAAAAGAGAAACAAGTATTACAGGAGCCCTTGGCAGGCCACCCACACCACACAGCAGAGGATCAGGTCTGGCTCCAAAGCAACTGCTTGGCAAGGCACACCCCAGGAGGCAGGAGGTGGCAGGGGTTCGGCCCTGGCCCAGCTGCAGCTACTCAGAACGTTTGGGGTTCAATCTAATTTTATATAGATATATAAAATTACATATGTATCTATATAATATATAAAGGATTTTGGCCCAGTGGTTAAAATAAAAGCCTCTTGGGAAGCCCCGGACCCCAGCTCCTGTTTCCAGCTTCCTGCTATAATGAGCCCTGGGAGGCGGCAAGGGCTTGGTTCAAGTACTTGGTTTCCTGTCACCCACAGGAGAGATCTGGATTGAATTCCCAGCTTTTGACCTCGACAGGGCTCAACTCGGACTGCTGCGAGCAGGCAATGAACCCTCAAATGCAAGTTTGCCTTTCCAATAGCATATATATATATATATATATATTTTTTTTTAAAGAACGCCCCCTTTAAATTTAAGGATATTGCCAAGGATAATTATCATCTAACTTTTGCTTATCATCCTAATTATTCCAATTGCAGGTTCTTGAAATGATTTTTGCCCTCTACTTATTGTTTGGGTTCAGTATATTTCAGTCAACCACGGTAACACCTCATACGGTGGTGGGTTCCCCGCCCCGACCCCCATCCTCGTACTAGAGATATAAACAATTCAGGCGAATCTGGGGGTTTTCCAACAACACTCAAAACGATGCAATCCAACACCTTCCGACAAAAACCGCAGGTGAGTGAAGGAAACTCCTCCAGGCTCGTGCGACCGAAGAGGTGGTGAGGAGACGCCCCTGGGGGAGCCCAGCCCGGCCCTTTCCCTCGCCGACTGAGGAGGTGCTATCCCGAGGGCGGCTCCGCCGGGCCCCAGGGCGCCGGGGTTCCGGCCGACGCCCGCGAGCCGCCTTCGGGCCTGCGGGGCCGGGCGTCCCGGGCTCGGGCGGAGGACACCGGCCGCCACGGGGCCCGCGCCGCGAGGGAGCAGCAGGAGGAGGACCGGGCCCGGAGCCGGACGACGCCCTCCCGGACCCGGGCGTGCCCACGTGACGGCCCCGCCCGCGCCTGCGGCCGCCGCGCCCGCCGCCTCCCTCAGGCTGCAGCTCCCGGCGTGCCCCGCACTGCCGGCCGCCCCCCTGGCCGCCCCTCCTGCTGCTCCTCCTCCTCGCAGTGCCACAGCGCCGGAGTCGGAGCCGCCGCAGCCACAGCCGCGGGCACTATGGTAAGGCGGGCGCGCCGGCGGGGAAGGCCGGAGCCCTGCGAGCAGAGACCCCCGCGCGGCCCCGGGCACGGAAGCCGCCATTTTAGCCTGATTTGGGCCGCCGAGGTGGGCGCTCCGGCGCTGGCGGCCCCGCGGCTCGCTCCAGCCAGCCGGCCTGCCCTCCCGCTGTCAGGCCGGGCCCTGGCGCTCTTGGGATTCCTGGGGGGCGGGGAGGGCGCGGGCTGGGGGGCCGGGGCGGGCGGCCGGGGACCCCGGGGGTCTGCCAAGGGTGGGTCGCGCGCGCCCCTGCTTTCCCCTTCCCCTTGGATTTTGACAACCTGCGCGCTGTCAAATGGAGCCGGGCTCCGAAGGCTCTAGGTCCCGGGGTCTGGCTGGCCTGTGGTAAAGCGCTGGCCGGGAGATTAAAGAGGTGGGATAAGTCTTTTAAAAATGCCTTTTCGCAGTTAATGATAATAATAGTAGTCGTAGTAGTAATAATAATAATGTTTCCCACTCTTTTCCGTTAGATGAAGTGTCTGCGTTTGAGCCATGAGGCAATTGTGTTTTAGCCATGGGCGGTTTGGAGTTTACACTTGCTTCTCTTTCCTTATGAGGAAGCAGCAGTGGCTGGGGATGACTTTAAAGAAAAAAAAAATAGTAGAGGCATGAACAAAAATCCAAGAGCGTTTTTTTTTTTTAAGGCCTGCAGAGTTGACACAATACAGAAGGTATTTTTTGCAACTGCTCCTGCGGCTCTGACATCACCCAGTGAAATAGGAAACATTTCAGGGATGGGACAACTTGCATTTGTCCCTTTCGCTCTTCCTTCTGTTTGCTTCCACCTCCCAAGCCCTTTGAGGATGAATGGGCAGGATGAGTTAGGGTCCGTCGATGAATGTTTTACCCTTTTGTAAAATGTGACAGATCCGAGAGGACAATTTGCATGCTTCTATGCCTTTCTTTTTCTTTCTTTCTGTCTTTTATTTATTTGTTTGTTTATTTCTATCCTGACAAAATTCTGATTTCTCTCTGGGCACCTGGTCATTTTGCTTAAAACCAAGAGGCAATCTGAATGACGGTTGCTTTTTGTTTTCAGGCTTCTGGAGTGACAGTGAATGATGAAGTCATCAAAGTTTTTAATGATATGAAAGTAAGGAAATCTTCTACCCAAGAGGAGATCAAAAAAAGAAAGAAAGCCGTCCTCTTCTGTTTAAGCGATGACAAAAGGCAAATAATTGTAGAGGAAGCGAAACAGATCTTGGTGGGTGACATTGGTGCTACTGTAGAGGACCCCTACACATCCTTTGTGAAGTTGCTACCTCTGAATGATTGCCGATATGCTTTGTACGATGCCACATACGAGACAAAAGAGTCTAAGAAAGAAGACCTAGTATTTATATTCTGGTGTGTAAAAACAAAAGCAAAAAGTACTTTTGAAATGCAAGGATTGTTCATCTGAGTCAGTTTTGCCTATGCTTTTCTTGTAGCTGTGATTCAGTGACCATTTGTCTCTCTCCTTAGGGCTCCTGAAAGTGCACCTTTAAAAAGCAAGATGATTTACGCTAGCTCTAAAGATGCCATTAAAAAGAAATTTACAGGTACAAGCAGTTTCCTATTTTGTGCTGAGATATTGCTCTTAGTTGCGATAAGCTGTTGGGATAACATGTTTGTTTTATCGTTTTAGGGATTAAGCACGAATGGCAAGTAAATGGCTTGGATGACATTAAGGACCGGTCAACACTGGGAGAGAAATTAGGAGGCAATGTAGTAGTTTCACTTGAAGGAAAACCATTATAATATGACAGTCAAAGTGCCATCTGGATCTTATGGAACATCCGTTTCTCCAGCTCAATCCTTTGGAATAATATTAGGGTTTTGTTTTGTTTTGTTTTGTTTTTAGTTTTTGGGGGTTTTTTTGATGGTTTTTTTTTCCTTTTCCACCCCCCTTTCTCCTGGGCCCTTCTAACACAATGAATGAAGGAGGCAACATTCATTTAAGCAGCCTATCAGTGATTGCCATTAGACTGTTAATACAGTTACTTTATGTAGAACCCAAGGAATGTCTTCCCTGTATGAGTTCAGCCAAAAGAACTGGTTAGATGCCTCCATGGTAGCAAGCACTACAACGAATGTGATTGTCAATGTGAATAGCTTAGAATACTACAAAGGGTAAGCTAACTGAATGCCTTGAAAGTATTATCCACTGGTCAGATGCTCAACTTGTTTCAGTATTATTTATAGTTGCACTTGATTGCAGTTCTGAAGCTTGAGCATTCATACACCTCACCTGCCTTGGCCAGCCTCTGTGTGACATGGCAGCACGGATATAACACTATGCATTAAAAGCACTTTTTTTGTAATGAGTTGAATTCCCTTCAAAAGGAATGCCAATTAAGTTTCATTAACTGTGTCATCAATTTATCCTAGTACCTCAGTGTTCATTCCTGTTACCTGCATACTTTCTCAAAAGAAATAGCTATTATTAATATCTTTTTGTTTTCCATTGAGTGTACACTACTGAATAAGTGTAGGAGTTTTATGTTTACCATGTGAGTCTTGCAACACTAAAGATATTTTGAATATCAGTCATGATGGCAATTTCTGTATAAAAGAGCCTTAAATGGAACATTGTTTTGAGCTCAAACCCCCCCCCCCCTCACAAAAATGGCCACGTTGCAATAAAAATTGTGGCATATTACAGAACGTTGCCTTGTTTTCCTTGGAGATTTGTAAATGTCATGTGAAACAACTAGGGTGAACAGCTGTCGTGAATCTGCACTGGTCATTTGAGGATTTTTGTTTTTTGGTGCAACATTCATATGTGGTATTTTCCTGGTTTGTTGGAATTATTTGGTTCAGAAAGTATTCTATCCTGACGCCACCTAATATAAAATGCTGTTGTTAAAGAACAGTACTTTTATAAACATGTTTATTTATTTCCTTTTGTGTTAGTATGGAGATCAAAAGTTTTGGTTTTTTTGGTTTTTTTTTTTTTGCACTCTGACAAATACTCTTCAGTGTCTGATTTTGTTCTCTAATTAGGATAGGTTTTTTTTTTAATTCACATTTATTTTATAAGTAATTGAGTAGTAGAAGTAAGAAGCTCTTATTTGGTCATAATGAAAATAATTTGTAAAAGATTGTCCCTCCAATAATACTTATGCTTAGGAAAATTCATTTCAGCTAGTATTCCTTAACATGTTTTTCAAATTCAATTAAAAAAAAATCTGTATGGCAGGCTTAAACGTTAGTAATGGATTTTGACTGCAGTCCAGGCCGCTCTCCTTATAGAGAATTTGATCTGCTCAGTGTGAGCGGTTTGTTAGCCAGAGCTATTTATGGCAAACACATGCTTTTGTATCTTGTCATAGTTATCCACAAATGGCAAAACTGGACTTGATTCTTCTGGTATGCAAAGCGAGCGTGCTAGCAAGTATTCAGTTGTGGCTCTGAACCTAACCTGTTAGCCCCAAAAAGGGCTTTTGTCAGAAAATGGAAATACCCCTCAACATTTTTTTAAAAAATATGTGGGAATAATTTGAGTATTAGATTTCTGTGTTTTAAAAATATTTTTCAGATAACGTTGAAAATAGGGTTTATGTATCTAAGGCTTCCATTTTAAATGCTGTGAATGGCTTAGGATTTTTTTTGTGCTGAGCAGTTTTATTTCAGGCTTCCAGCTGTCCCTGTAAGGTATCCTGGACATTTTGGTGGCTTTTTGGTAAGGTCAAACTACTAAGCAAAGCTTGAAAGTACTGATGCTAAACCATATGAATAACTGATATTTGCACCACAAACTTTTTCATTATTCCTCTATTCTGAAAAATAAGAGACTATACATCAGTTATGTAGTATCATTTGTTTTAAAAGCTGATTCCTATTTGATATGCCTCTTTAATTATATAATGATTCCAGAGACTATTACTTTAGACTGTGATACTTCTTATTTGTTAGATTGGCAAAACTGATCATTATAGTAAGGTTCATCTTTAAAATAAATCTTTGTGCTTAGCCAAAAATAATATTAGTAATGGATCACGTGTTCCTTGAGACTTACTTGGCATTTGAAATGACCATTTTACCTTATAGTCATTTTCACAGTGAAACAATGTTCCCATTAGCTTTTAAATGGCCTATGGTGCTACTTAGTAAAATATTGAGGGCAATATTTTACTGCTAGCTTGCAAAATGACAAGTGTTTAAAAATAAAATACATGAAAAGATTTAAAGCTGTTGAAATGTGTTTACTTATGCTTGAAAAAATTAAAAGTATAAGAACTGATACTATAGAAGAGGCACCATTATCTTTAAATCTGTTTTTAATTATTTTGTTTGATACACTCTCATTTAAACAGACCAATACTCTTTGAAAACTGAGTGTTATAGAGCAATTAATATTAACATTTTCAGACAAATGGGAGCAGTTGGCATTTTTCCCAAACTGACTATCAGCTGTTGTCTTCTGTCATTATCTAAAATAGGATAGCTAGCATTGTGTATTTAATACATCTTTGTAGAAGGTTCAGAGAAAAGCCTTTGCTAGAGTTGAGTTTCTCTAATAGCCTTTGTAGCAGCTCATCTCTGGAATTTAGGAGACAATGTGAAATGTCTTGTTGAGGAATAATTGCAGCAATGGCAAATCACTGAGCCATTTGAACATCTTTCACTAGGTTTATCTCTGAAAAGGCGGTCTTTTTCTTTGAACTATTTTTGCTTCCAAATTTAGAAGTAAATACAAAACAATATGAATATTCATTTTTCTGCACATATTAAAGCTGCTAGACTGTAGGCTGACTCCAGTGAATTTTGCTTTGAAGACAGCATGCATTCATAGATGTTCCCTCTCATCTTGGCCAGTGAAGTGTGAGGCTTTTTCTTTGCTGTGGAGCGCCCACACAGTTGCTTGCCTTCCATGAAGCGTGGACATCCATCCCTGCACTGTGTTCTTACACTGCACCTGGGCAGACTTGTCTCTGTTGAGTCTTAATCTGTGCTCAGGACGGTAACTGCCTACCACCCCTGGCACTGAGCATCACGCCCTGAAGTGTTTGCTGTGGACGTGTGATCATTTACTGAAACCATTTACTCTTTTTTTTTTTAAAGATTCATTTTTATTGTTTTTATTGGAAAGGCGGATATACAGAGAGGAGAGACAGAGAGGAAGCTCTTCCGTCCGATGATTCACTCCCCAAGTGAGCGCAACGGCCAATGCTATGCCGGTCCGAAGCCAGGAGACTCTTCTGGGTCTCCGACGTGGGTGCAGGGTCCCAAAGCTTTGGGCTGTCCTCGACTGCTTTCCCAGGCCACAGGCAGGGAGCTGGAAGGGAAGCGGGGCTGCTGGGATAGAACTGGCGCCCATATGGGATCCCGGGCGTGCAAGGCGAGGACCTTAACCACTTGCACCACTGCGCCGGGCCCCATTTACTCTTTTTTAAAAAACATTTATTTAAGTGGCAGAGTGACCGACATCTTCCACCAGTTTTAACTCCCCAGATGACTTCAGCTGCTGGAGCTGGATCAAGCTGAAGCCAGGAGCCAGCAACACAAGCTGGGTCTCGCAAGTGGGTGGCAGGCCTCACGTATTTGAGCCATCTTCTCTTGCCCTGTGCATTAGCAAGGAGCTAAATCAGAGGCACAGTGTGGGACCCCGAACCAGGCACTCCCAGACAGGGTGTGGATGTCCCTGGAGGTTGTTTAATTCGCTGCACAATACTTACACCTCTTAAAATTTAATTATGTCGAGCCTGGTGGTGTGGCCTAGTGGCTAAAGTCGTCGCCTTGAACATACCACAATCCCATATGGGTTCCGGTTCTAATCCCGGCTGCTCCACTTCCCATCCATCTCCTTGCTTGTGGCCTGGGAAAGCAGTCAAGGACGGCCCAATGCTTTGGGACCCTGCACCTGTGTGGGAGACCTGGAGGAAGTTCCTGGCTCCTGGCTTCGGATCAGCACAGCACCGGCCATTGCAGTCACTTGGGGAGTGAATCATCAAATGGAAGATCTTTCTATCTCTCCTCTCCATATATCTGACTTTGTAATAAAAATAAATAAATCTTTTTTAAAAATTCAATTATGTCAATAAATACCCTTGTGTTAAAATGACATTATGCATCACTGAATGTCTTAACTATTCATTTGATCTCAGTTCAAGGACTACTAATCCAAGGCATCTTTTTTTCAGGTTGAAATATGAAGTTTATAATTAATACAGCTTTCAAGTTGATGCTCATGACTAGTTTTAGTCTTTTAGTGTCATTTTCATGTCTGACCAGATGCTAGTTTCCTCCCTACCTCCAGGTATTTGTAAAGTAAAAAAGAAAAACAAAACTTGTTTTGGAATAGTTGACATAAATTAATGATCAGGTTAGTGTCAGTTTTATGTAATTCTTCAGTTTTCAAGTCACTTTATTTGAACTCTAGTTGCGCTTACTAGCTTACCCTGTGTCTTTTTTTTTTTTTTTAAGATTTATTTATTTTTATCACAAAGGGAGCTATACAGAGAGGAGGAGAGACAGAGAGGAAGATCTTCTGTCTGATGATTCACTCCCCAAGCAGCCACAACTGCTGGTGCTATGCCGATCCGAAGCCAGGATCCAGGAACTTCTTCCAGGTCTCCCACACAGGTGCAGAGTCCCAAGGCTTTGGACCGTCCTTGACTGCTTTCCCAGGCCACAAGCAGGGAGCTGGATGGAAAGTGGAGTCACTGGGACATGAACTGGCACCCATATGGGATCCCGGCACTTGCAAGGCAAGGATTTAGTCACTAGTCTACCACAGCAGGCCCTAAACTACTGTTTAGGGATGCCTGCATCCCATTTTTGGAGTGCTTTTTTGAGTCCTGGTTACTGTGTTTCCAATCCAGGTTCCTGCTAGTGCATATTGGAAGGGATGAATGTTGGCTCAAGTGATTGGGCCCCTGCATCCACCTGGAGACCCAGCTGGAATTCTTGTCTCCTGGTTTCAGTGTGGTTCAGTCTCTGCTCTCGTGGGCATTTGGGGAGTCAAGCAAGCTATTGGAAGATTTCTGTCTATGTCACTTTACCTTCCAAGGAGAGGAAAATAAACATTAAAGAAGACAACCCTTTTTTTTTTTTAAGATTTGTTTATTTATTGCAAAGTCAGATATACAGAGAGGAGGAGAGATAGAGAGGAAGATCTTCCATCTGATGGTTCACGCCCTAAGTAGCCGCAATGGCTGAAGCTGAGCAAATCAAAAGCCAGGAGCCAGGAACTTCCGGGTCTCCCATGTGGGTGCAGGGTCCCAAAGCTTTGACTGCTTTCCCAGGCCACAAGCAGGGAGCTGGATGGGAAGTGGAGCTGCCAGGATTAGAACTGGCACCCATATGGGATCCCAGTGCATTCAAGGCGAGGACTTTAGCCGCTAGGCCATGCTGCTGGGCCCAAAAAACAACCCTTATAATAGCTCCATATACCTGTTTCTCGTATTTTACATTGCAACAGGAAGTGAGTTACTAGTTATAAGGTTTATTTGCTGATTTGAAAAGCAGAGTTACAGAGAGAGGCAAAGAGATCTTCCATTGCTGGTTCACCCTCCAAATAACTGCAGTGGCCAGGCTGAAGCCAAAAAACCAAGAGACTCATCTGAATGTCACATGTGGGTACAAGTGACCAAGCACTCAGGCCATCGTCTGCTGCTTTTCCCGGGTGCTCTAGTGTGCTGGATTGGAAGTG